ATAAGAATCGTAGTGACAGTTCCTCATCAGAAACTCTGGTGGGAGAAGGAAGTGGAACAGCATTTACCAAGGGCTGAAAGAAAACAATCAAACCAGAATTCTATAGTCAGCAAAAATATTGTTAAAGGTCTTTTTATCTAATAGGCTTGTAGTGAATAAAAAGTGACATGATTTCCATATTATCTGCTTCCAATGTTTTTCTTATTAGACTATAACAAATTCATGTGACTTGGCTACGGCATGGTTATAAACACGAAACAAATGAAGGCACAGATATTATAGAGTAGAACCAAATTATAGGTGGTAATTTGGAATATTCTTCTATTAGAATTATTTTTTTAAGATTTTATTTATTTATATGAGACAGAGGGAGCGCACATGAGTGGGAAGGGGCAGGGCAGAAGGAGAGGGAGAAGTAGACCCCCCAATGGAGCAGGGAGCCTGATGTGGGGCTTGATCCTGGGACCCTGAGGTCATGTCCTGAGCTGAAGGCAAACTCTTAATTCACTGAGCCACCCAGGCACCCCATTTCTATTAGAGTTCCTAATTAACATTTATCTATATCTATGAGTAGACATGCTTATACATAAATTTTAAATAATAGTGAATTCTTATATGCTCAAATTGTATACTTCTAACCCCTCAGAAATCCACTGTCTACATGTGGGACACAGGATACGTTCCTGCATTGTTCTTCATTATGGTTTAGCAGAATGTATGAGGGTTTTGCATTAGAGTCTTGCAATGCGGGTCCTCTTCTGTACCTCTTGGCACATCCTAGTTTACAGAGCATTTCCGGGGCTCTTATGCCGAGCTTATCGGTGGTCCTTCATTTTTGTTTATGCTCCTGTCATATCTGATGTTCAACTAGATTTTTTTTTATTATAAACTTGGTGCCTATCAGATTTTCTGGATGTCCTATTTCAGATGTTCTTACTTGGATGTATCTCTTACCTTAGCCAGCCATAGGATACTATTTTTATTCCAGGCTTTATGAAAGGGGTGATTGATCTCCCCCTGGGCTTGCCTTAGCCATACAAGTGGGGTCCAGACAACGAAAAGGTAGACCTTCCATTTTGAGATAATGGGTAAGTGAGCTAGGATACTGCTGGAGTATGAGGCAAATGTTCAGATGAGTGGACAGCGATTGGCCACCAACCAAATCCAGGCTGTGTAAAGAAATAAGTGAATGAAAGAACCTGACCTGCCTTCCTGGGAGAAAGTTTCAGGACAGCTACTGGGAAGGTCAGGTGGCAGCCCAAGAACTTAAGCCCATTTAGCTTGAGATGTGGGCGTTGCTCAACTGGACATTCAATAGGCAGCTGTGGTTGCAACACCAAGTGGACTGATTGGATGTCAAGGCATGAGAATCATAAGCCTAAGGCAAAAGTCAAAGCCCAAGAATCACTGAGCTCTTTGAAGGGAAGAAAATGGAGGAAGGAGGAAAGGAAAGGAAGGGAAAGGGAAAGGAAAGGGAAAGGAAAGGAAAGGAAAGGAAAGGAAAGGAAAGGAAAGGAAAGGAAAGGAAAGGAAAGGAAAGGAAAGGAAAGGAAAGGAAAGGAAAGGAAAGAAGGAAGAAAAGAAAAGAAGAGAAAGAAAAGTGAATGGTGCTGTGTTGAAACCTGATGGGCGGCAGAGAGAAATGGAGCCATTGTAGGTTACAGGGAATGATTATTTAAAGAAGTGGGGAAAAGTCAGAGATGTGTTTAAACCTGCAGAGACAGGAGGATTCCTGTTTGGTCTTGGATATGTAAAAAAAGAAATCCCACGTGGTGTTCATGTTATAAAAGAAGAGTAGGAAGTTGGACCATCGAGTAGCTATTCCATTTATGTATTTGAAACCAAAATGTTAAATATCCCATGAGATATGTGATAGAAATAAGCTAAGTTACTACTGATTTTTCTCTTTGCCTCTTTAGTAAAAAGGTTACAAGGAGTTAGTCCTTGCAACTCATATTTTTATTTGCAAAAAAATAAGTATAAATGACAATTGTGAATATAACTATGACTGCTAAAAGTTTTTTTTTTATTTATTTATTGAGTGCCTACACTGGATGAACCTGGTGCTAGTTGTTCTGTATATATTATGTCATTTACTCCTCACATTACCTCTGAGGCGGCTGTTATTAACCTGAAAGCAATGAGACAACATTGATTAAGTCTTTTAACTGAAATCATAGAGCCGCCAAATGTCAGAGGCAAGAACTAGTACAGAAGTCTGATTTTAAAGTCCATGCTCTTCAACAGAAGGTAATTTTAAAGGATGGGTGTGTGGTCATTTGCCTAGGTCGCTGGGAAACACAATGCTCTATTAGTACAATTAAAAAAATGAAGATTTACTCCCTTTAGCTATAATAAAAGTAAGAACATTCTACATATTTTGAAAGTCTCATGCATTTAGCTCATTGACATTTAAAAATTGATGTGAAGAATATCTGTCACTTAGTAATCACGCACAATCTTGGGGAGGAATGAATAGATGAACCAATTCTAGATGTTAGCAGGAGGCTCCCTCATCTCAGGAACCTAAGCCTCTAAGTCTGTAAAGATTATGCCATTTATCTCCATTGAATCAGAAGGGTGAGAGTGCCATGGTTGATTGATTGCCAACCTTTATTTTAAGCCCGTCCAAGCAGCCTACTGTTAAGACGCTCTGTCGAGGCGAAAACCTATAGCTCAAGGCCAAAAAAAGATTCCCGGTGGATGATCAGATGCCAGAAAGTGGGTCTCCTTAATTCCCTCGAATCAGGGTTCACATGTGAAATAAGCTTCCATATTTAACAGAAGTAGCCAGAAAGCTTTTCTGTGCTGGCCTCCAGGATGTGAATCCCTTTAAGGTAGAGTTTCATGGGTATTTGTAGAATATCACCTGCCAGAGAAATGCCATTTCGCTCGCACTCACCCCAAACGAGAGCTAGAAGGCAGCTGGGCACTGGGCATGCTCCAGCAGGTGGGAGAGAAATTAAGGTTTGTGAGAACGAACAAATGAAATTGAGATTTGAGTGAAATCTGCGAGGAATTGGTGAAGAAACAAGAGGTTGGTGATCCTGAGGGATCCAATTGCAAATAACATCCACTGCATTCAATATGTCAAGATGAACATTTTGCTAATACTTGACGCATTGCCTCAATAAAGCAGTGGCTTTAGAAAGCCGGAGGTCATTAATTATTTTAAATTCTTTGTCCAAAATCGTGTCTATATGTCTAACTATTTTATTTCTGATCTACTGCCAATTTTTATTATAGAATGCTTCAAATATACCTATATTACATCTCTCTCTATCTATATGTATCTCTATCTCTATCTCTATGTATCTTTATCTCTCTCTATCTCTATCTCTATCTCTATCTCTATCTCTATCTCTGTCTCTATGTATGTAGTATTTTGGATGGTTGAAATAGCTGATTAGAAATTTAAACCCAAGATAAATTTGAGTACTTGGGAGTTTCTAGAGCTTTGATTTTTATCTGCCACAACATTTATTTATTTTTTTTACCTTTTTCATAATCCTCTATTGCATTTTTTCAATAACATACTATAGAAACAAAGAACGGAACAACAACCAAAAGACTCCGAGCGAACCACGGTAGTTAGCCCAGTGTGCTCCTCTCTGGGGCTCTTGTAGAATAGAATGTGGTCTCAGGTGGGAGTCACAGGTCGCTCCAATACCCTGGTCAAGTCATTTTATCTTTCTGACCACCAGTTTTTGTCATTTCTAAAACTATGATTTCTATTTTTTTTAATATTTTATTTATTTATTCATGAGAGGCACAGACTGAGAGAGAGAGAGGCAGAGACACAGGCAGAGGGAGAAGGAGACTCCATGCAGGGAGCCCGACGCGGGACTCGATCCTGGGACTCCAGGATCACGCCCTGGGTCAAAGGCAGGGGCTAAACCACTGAGCCACCCAGGGATCCCCTAAAACTACGATTTCTTATGAAGTCTTTCATCGCATCCTTCCAACTCTAACAGGCTACACATGTCTTCTCATTGGAAGTGGTGTGAAAAAGAATTCTTAATTACCCAAGTTTAAAATCCACGAGATGAATAATACCTTGAATATTGATTGAGCAAACGGAGGCCATCACTCTAGTTATCGGGAAAGTTTCCTTTGACAGGTGCCCCTGCATGCTCTACCTGTCATGGGGCGTTATTCTCCATCCCTTTGTCCCCTTAACCATTTTGTTCCTTTACGGTAACTTCTAGTCGTTTCACTTGAGAGGTGTCTTGTGTTTGTTTGTTTTGTCTCTTTCTGTCTCATAGTAGGTAATCTGGATTGGAGCTAGGAGATGCATTCACACCGAAGTCTCCCTCCATCTTCCTTGTCTTTCGGTCACGTGGCTTCCTTCATCCCCCTCTTGCGTGGCCTCGCACGGCAAGCAGATGTGCCTAGTACCCGTAGGGCTGGGCCTCTGCCCTGGTGCTTTCCCTTTGTCCCCCTGGGTTTTAGATCCCCCGACAGGTAATTTGTCAAATAACAGAGACTGTGATGGTGCAGGCATCCATGGTCTTGGGTGAGGGACTTGCCTTCCGTGGACCTGCGGGGGGCTTTGCGGAGGATGCTGTGGGGGGTGGGGAGGTGCACATCGGGGGAGGCTAGACAGTTTACTTCAGTTCTGACTCCTGAGGAATCTCAGCATCAAGGCGTCAGTAGGTTCTGAGATGGTACAGATGACGGTTCCATCCTGTCTTTGCCACACTAGGTTGGGCACAAAGCACGACGCTGTGCGGTCGCGAGCACCGCGGTGTCCTTAAGCGGCACCGCACAGCCAGGCTTACCTCCGGGGATGGTGGCCACACAGACGTTCCTTTCTGAGCAGTTTTCCACGGCTTCTCACAAACCCTTATCGTTAAAACCCGAATCTTTAAAACTTGGAAAATGGGTCCACTTGTGCCCCCCCATTAGACATAAACGTCGAGCAGATGGAACTTACGAGCAGGACGAGGGAAGGTGGGAGAGCCTTGCAGACTAACTGCATCTGCGCCTTTTCTTCCCAGCTGTATCCTGCGGAATCCCGGAGTCCCCAGGAAACGGTTCCTTTGTGGGCAGCGAGTTCACACTGGACAGCAGAGTGACGTACGAATGCAGCGAGGGCTTCCAGCTGGAGGCGGGCCAGCAGGCAGCGGCCGTGTGCCGGGAGGATGGGTTATGGAACAACACGGGGAAGCCTCTTGCGTGTAAACGTGAGTGTCCAAGTGCCTTTGCACGTCTCGGCCGACTTAATTAGGAGTGAGGGTCACGGGTGAGCGCTCCAGACCGCAAAGCGCAGAGACCCTCCTCTACAGTGTGTGAGGCCTCGGTCTCTTGCATCGTGGTAATGCTAGAACCAAACTGTTTGAAGACACTAAAAATAAATAAATAAATAAATAAATAAATAAATAAATAAGGTAAATAAGATAAAAAAGTAAAGCCAATCTATTCCGCAGAGAATACTCCAACCATATAAAATAAGCTCAGCATTCTTGAAAGCTGGTCAGATAGAATCATGTTGGTTCCATGAGGATCTACACTCATGGCGACACTGCCGCTTGCAATCCAGGTAGATGAATCCAAAGGCTGTTGAGACACATGCGGCCATGGCTCCCTACGCCAAATATTAACACATAGTTCATCACGAGCCTCCTGTTCACCTCCCACGTATTTGCAAATCCCTTGAGGCTAAAGGCAGTGGCTCCCTTCCTGGTACGTCACCTACTCTGCGTAATACTCTGGTGCTTAATAAATCTATGTTAATACATTGGTGCTTAATAAATGGGTGATGGACCTGTGAAGAGGAGGAAGTTTCCTGGGAAGCTCTTTATGGTTGATAATACTATTCCTAAAAGGGTCAGAAGTTTGGGCCCAATGTGGTCTTAAAAAATAACGATCTGGCCCGTACTGCAGAGCCAATGAGAACAAAAGTTCACACACACACACACACGATGTGCACAAAGATCCTCATCATAGCTGTATTAGAACTCGCCTCACACTGGAAATAATCTAACTGCCTACTTCGTAAAAACGGAAAACTATATACTATTGCTACACATACAATATTTTTGCTTTTACGATCTTTGAAAAAAAAACATTTCCACGTGATCCTCGATTATAAAACTACTTTGTTGACCTCTTTTTGCCTATGGTATTTTGGTCATATTAAAATTATTTAGGCTCCTTCGCTATGAACACGTAAATGTTTACAGGATATAATTGACTTTCCTTCATAGTTCTTGCTTTCCTTGTGATCATTTAGTTCATTTATTTATATGTTTGTTTGTTTATTTATTTATTTATGGTTTGCAGGTAATTGTTGCTTTTCTGGAGTGGCTGTGAGATACGATTGAGACAGTAGCGACACTTCTCAGTTATCTTTTTATTGAATGAAGTACTGTTTTATTATGATTAAGAGATAGTACAGGAAGCTCGGGTAGTAACATCCGTAGGTTTTTAAATCTGATCCTTGATAAAATTATGCTCTAAGAATGAGAGCTTAAACCCAGGGACGGCAATAACTATATGTTTTGGGCTCCTTATCATGGGCACAATTTCTTAGGCATTGAAGACCCCACTCACCTTGTACACAGCCTCGGGGTTGTTATTACCGACCCTTTTTTTCATTGTTTTGTTTTGTTTTAATAATAAATTTATTTTTTATTGGTGTTCAATTTGCCAACATACAGAATAACACCCAGTGCTCATCCCGTCAAGTGTCCCCCTCAGTGCCCGTCACCCAGTCACCCCCACCCCCCGCCCTCCTCCCCTTCTACCACCCCTAGTTCGTTTCCCAGAGTTAGGAGTCTTTATGTTCTGTCTCCCTTTCTGATATTTCCCACACATTTCTTCTCCCTTCCCTTATATTCCCTTTCACTATTATTCATATTCCCCAAATGAATGAGAACATACACTGTTTGTCCTTCTCCGATTGACTTACTTCACTCAGCATAATACCCTCCAGTTCCATCCACGTTGAAGCAAATGGTGGGTATTTGTCGTTTCTAATGGCTGAGGAATATTCCATTGTATACATGAACCACATCTTCTTTATCCATTCATCTTTCGATGGACACCGAGGCCCCTTCCACAGTTTGGCTACTGTGGACATTGCTGCTAGAAACATCGGGGTGCAGGTGTCCTGGCGTTTCATTGCATCTGAATCTTTGGGGTAAATCCCCAGCAGTGCAATTGCTGGGTCGTAGGGCAGGTCTATTTTTAACTCTTTGAGGAACCTCCACACAGTTTTCCAGAGTGGCTGCACCAGTTCACATTCCCACCAAGAGTGTTTTTTTTTTTTATTATTATTACTGACCCTTGTCAATGTAAAGTGTCTACTACGTGCAGTGTGTCTCCAACTGCTTATCTGTGAATCTGCTGACTGCTCTGAGCCGGGAGGACCGCACACGGCCTTCCCAAGGAAGGAGAGGCTACTCGTCTGCAGAGTTAGGGTCGAATTCCATTCTCTCTGGTTCTAAACCCTGTGCCCTCTTCATTACGCCAGTGGTTTGGCATGCTGGTTACACATAAGGTCACGTACCGAGCGTTAGAAATACTATTGTCCAGGTCTGATTCTCAGGGATCCTGCGGTAACCAGTCTTGGATGTAAAACAGGCATCAGGATTTTTCGTTTTGTCTTAAGTTCTCTGAGCACTATGTTTAAAATGGATGAGCACTGGGTGTTATTCTATATGTTGGCAAATTGAACACCAATAAAAAACAAATTTATAAAAAAATAAAAATAAAATAAAATAAAATAAAATAAAATAAAATAAAATAAAATAAAATGTCAGGTATGTGCTAGGTTTTAAAGACAAAGCCATTTAGAATTTGCATAGTGTCTGAGAAAGATGTGATCAATGGCAAGGTAACTACATAAATGATGAAAATGTAATCTTTATCCTCACATCCTTTTTGTTTAAATAGACTTTGTTTTTGTTTCTAGAACAACTTCAGGTTTATAGGAACAATGAGCAGGAAATGTAGAGATTTCCCCTCCCCGTGCCCCTCCCTGCCCATTGTCAACATTTCCCACCAACAGATGGAGAGGTTAGTTCGGTACAAGGGATGAACATGTTTTGATACATCATTATGACCCAAAGTTCATAGCAGTACATTAGGGTTCATTCTTTTTTTTTAAAGATTTTTTAAAATTTATTTATGCATATGAGAGAGAGAGAGAGAGAGAGGCAGAGACCCAGGCAGAGGGAGAAGCAGGCTCCACACAGGGAGCCCGATGCAGGACTCAATCCCGGGTCTCCAGGATCACACCCCGGGCTGAAGGCGGCGCTAAACCGCTGAGCCACCCGGGCTGCCCCATTAGGGCATACATTCTGTGCATTTGGATAAATGGATAAATATGTATATCCGCCATGATAGTATCATACAGATATTTTCACGGCCCTAAAAACTGTCTTGTTCTGCCTGTTGTCTCCCCTGCTCCCCAGCACCTGGAAACCCCCTGGCAATCTTCCTTTCCTGTCTCCAGTTTTGCCTTTTCCAGAACATCATATAGTTGGAATTATACACTATGTAGTCTTTTCAGAATGTTTTCTTTTTTTTTTTTTTCACTTAGTGGTATGCGTTTAGGGCTCCTCTATGTCTTTTCATGACTTAAAAGTTCATTTCTTTTTGGTTCTGCGTAATATTTCATCATCTGGATGGACCGTGGTTCAACCATTCCCCCTACTGAAGGACACAAGGGACACAGCCCCTATAAGCATTTGGGTGTAGATGTTTTATGGGCATAGGCTTTCAACTCCTTTGAATAAATACCCAAAAGTATGATTGTCGGGTCATATGGTAAGAGTATGTTTAGTTTGCAAAGAGACTGTCGGCCTGCCCTCCAGAGTGGCTGCACCGTTTTGCATTCCTATGAGCACTGAGTGAGATTCCCTGTTGCTCCACATCCTTGTCAGCATTTGGTGCAATCAGCGTTCCGGATTTTAGTCACCCTCACATGGCGACAGGGGTATCAGCTTGTGGTTTTAGTTTGCAGCTCCTGATGATGTATGATGTGGGGCACCCATCCATGTGCTCGTCACCTGTCCACCTTCTTTGGCGAGGTTTCTGTGTAGGGCTTTTGCCCGCTTTTCATCAACATGTTCGCCTTACTGTTGAGTTTTAAGGGTTCTTTGCACATGTTGGCTGCCAGTCCTTCATCAGAGATGCCTTTTCCCAGTATTTCCTCCCAGCCTGTGGCTTGTCTTCTCCCTCCCTTGGTGCTGTCCTTCGCAGAACAGGAGTTTTCGATTTTAATGGAGTACAACTTACCGATTCATTCTTTCATGGAACACGCCTTTGGTGTCGTACTTAGAGTTATCCCCCCAGTAAGGGGTCACCTAGATTTTTTCCTATGTTACCTCCTAGGAGTTTTATACTTTACATTTGGGTCTTTGATCCATTTCAAAGCAATCTTTGTGACAGGTCTAAGGTCTGCACTTATATTCATCTTGGCATGTGGACGTCTGGTTGTTCTAACGCGATCTGTTGAGAGTCTATCTCTGCTCCATTTGAACTGCTTTTTGTTCCTTTTCCAAAGATCAGTTTACTATGTTTTAGAGGGTCTATTTCTGGGTTTAATATTCTGCTCCATCCATCTATGTGTCTTTTTTTTTTGCCAATATCACACTGACTTCTCACTTTTGTTTTTGTTTAGTTAGAATGGAATATAAAATGACACCCTCCCCCCCCAAAATGTATTTAATACGAATGTGACAATTTGCAAATGTAATTGGAAGAATATTTTTCAGTATCCTACAAAATCAATCTTGATTTTGGTTGTATTTCTAGGGATATAATTGATTTTATTGAAAATGCCCTGATGGGCACAGATAACTTTCATGATCTTTAAAGCTATAGGGAAATTTTGTTTTAAAGATTTTATTTATTTATTCATGACAGACACAAAGAGAGGCAGAGACACAGGCAGAGGGAGAAGCAGGCTCCCTGCAGGGAGCCCAACATAGGACTCGATCCCAGGCCCCCAGGGTCACGCCCTGAGCCAAAGACTCAAGCACTGAGCCACTCAGGTGTCCTAATACAGAAAAAATTTAAAGCCATGATTTTTTTCTAAAGATAATCCAGTTTATTGGAGATCACAGACATTCAGTCAAAGTGGCATTTTTTAGCATTTCATTTTAACCATTGGCATTTTTTTGGCATTTTATTTTCACTTTTTTAAGGCATTCTCTTGGATTAATTAAAGGCTACC